TTTTTTTTTTTAATGTTTTTCTTGTCAATTTTCGTTGGTTGTATGAATGTTTATATAATATTGTAAAACAAATAAAACAAAATTATGATATGTGTTTTTTTTTTATATCAAATTGTTTGGAGCAAATTATGTTGATGTTTCATAGTAACAAACTTTGATTATTGTTAAGGGAGATTCTACAGTCCCCGTTACGGAACTATTCCGTCGAAGTTTGTAATCGACAAAACAACTATTCACGACTGTTATATGATGATCTAACCGTTACAAATCATGATAGAATGGTTCCGTAACGGGATTGTAGCATTTTCCTATTCTTCTTAAAATATGTACGGGGAATTACATGATTTTCTTGAAATACATATGCAATTGTTTTTATTAATTACCCTTTCTGTTGGAAGGGGGGCTAAACTAGGGGTTGCCAAAAAGATTTCTTCCTCTTAGATGGTCCATTTTCTGCAATTTTTGACCCATTTTGTAATTTTTGAAGTATTTTAATTTTACCCATTTTTAATGTAATTAGTTTTAAATGTATTTTGAAAATTATGCAGGTATTCTGTAAGATAATAAAACTCATGAAGTACAAAATAGGGAAATACTATTGTCTATCATTCCGTCAGAATTTTTAACCGTTAGATCATCATGTAATCTTCGGGGATAGTTGATCTAACGACTACGAACCCCGACGAAATGGTTCAGTAATGGGACCGTAGCATCTCCCGTACAAAATATTGAAACATAGTAAGCTTTTTATTTTTTATTTTTTATTTTAAGGAATAAATTCTTCTTAATTTTTGTGAGAATGAAAAATGAACAATATATTCCTTGAAAATATTTCATTAGAAGTTCTAAATCAATTAGGATTTAGATGAAACTTAACTATTATAATTCATCCAGAAAATGTCTAACCATATATTTCACTATTTTCTAAATTTATTATTCCTATATTTCCTAAACTATTTATGCGTATTATTGTAGCTAGAAAGTCAACGGAAGGTTACTTAAAGAATAAAACAATGATCCAAAGCGAATATAAGTATAATATAATTCCTGGAGACCATAGTTGTATTCCACAAACGACTCACTTACAATGATTTTTTTTTTTTTTAATTAGTCTAATATAGCTGGAAGCCAATTCGGGCCCACTGAACATGGTTTTGAGCTGGGCACACTATTTATCGTCCCCTTACTACTCACCGCCCCTCTAATTACGTCTTTGTCCTTCACACTATTTCTCTACTTTCTTTCTCTACTCTTTTCCTCTCGATTTTTTACGACTCTTTTGACCGTCAAAAAAATTTCAAAAATACCATGACATCGGCAAGACATTGAAGATTGACTATGTATTTTTTTTATATTTTTTTACATTGTAAATAACTTTTACATTTTTTTTTTTAATTTTTTCTTTTTGCACGTCCGGACAGACCGTCCGAACGCACCATGGGGTGTCCGGACGGACGGACCGGACGCACCATGGGGTGTCCGACCGGACCGTCCGGACACCCCATAGTGCGTCCGGTTCGTCCGTCCGGACGCGCAAAAAAAAATTAAAAAAAAATATAAAAATTATTTACAAAGTAACAAAATATAAAAAAAAAAATACATAGTCGATCTTCAATGTCTTGCCGATGTCATGATATTTTTTTCGGATTTTTTTGACATTTTTTTTACGGTCAAAAGAGCAGTAAAAAATCGAGAGGGAAAGAGTAGAGAGAGAAAGTAGAGAGATAGTGTGAAGGGCAAAAACGTAATTGAGGGTCAGTGATTAGTAAAAGGGGGCGGTAAATAGCGATTCACTTTATTTTGTTTATATAGATAGATGGTCACCCAAGAATAGCATATAGTAATTAAGATGTTTTTAGACATGTTTTCTGATAATAGCTTAGAAAAATTTAGGTGATTTTCCACTTATAATATAGAATATTTTAGGTATTGTTTGACATGACATATAAATTTTTAGTTGCTTTTTATATTTTAACTATACATGTTTTATATGTTTTAAACAAACTAATATTTAATTAGCTTCAACTAACTAACAATGGTTATTACTTTTTTAATTGCCAACAAATTAATATTTTAGGATAAATCTTATTGCATGTTAATCTTTTTCTTTTTAATTCATAAATATTATTTGATATTATTTATTTCTGCATCGCATGAGATCTATACTAGTAATATTAATAGAGTAGATGAGAAACATGTTGAATCCTTTAACCAAATAGTTTATAGTTATTTGAGAGTCTTGGTGTAAGAGTAAGAATAAAGTTTTGGGTGTTATGACACGTGGAGAATATAAAAAAAAGTTTGTGGATGTTTATTATTAAGACATACGCTTTCATTACCATTAATTTAATCACCAACTACAATCCATCTTTCATGTTATGTTCACATCATCACTCCACTAAACATTTATCCATTCCACGTTGTTGAATCATTTAAATGTACACGTGGAACCCATTTTCTCTATTTTAAATATCAACCTATCCATTTATTGAAACACCTGAGTTCCACAAGTCTTGTCAATTAAATGCAGTGTTCTAAAAGTCGCTAGGCACCCGCTAGGCGCTCGACCAGCGCCTAGCGCCTAGAGCGCCTAGGCGGGGCCTAGGCGGCGCCTAGTCGGGGCCTAGAAATTAATATTAAATACCTTATCTTTTATTTAGTTTGACTACCTACAAAATAAAACTATCTCAACTTATAATAAATCGACACACCTAAGTCCAAATAATAAAATTAATATATTTTAAAGAAAATATGAGAATAAAATAATGTAGTTAATATTTAAAAAAATTAAAAAAATTAAAAAAAAAAAACTGAAAAATTGCCGCCGAGCCCGCCTAGGAGCGCCTAGGTCCGCCTATTCCCGCCAAGGCGCCGCCTAACCGCCTGGCCGCCGCGCCCGCCAAGGGCGCCTAGGAGCGCCTAGGGCCGCCTAGGCCCGCCTAGGCTCCGCCTAGCCGCCTGACCGATTTTTTCTGCCGATTTGTGCAAATCGGAGGCGCCCGGGCACCGCCTAACGCTTAGGCGCCGCCTAGGCGGCCGCCTAGGCCGATTTTTAGAACAATGATTAAATGAATGTCCGCATTGATGTTAGTGGCTCTTGCATCCATTTAAATGGCAATTAAACGGGCCGATGCGGGCATCAACGTCCTTTTAAATAACATTTAGTTCATTCAAACAAATGTGTCAAAACGAAACCTTTTTTTTAGAAAAAAAATAAAATTTAAATAAATAAAAAAATAAAAACATTCGTGTCGACGGTCGATCGCCAACAGATATGATTGATATAAATTGGACGATTAAATCAGGGTTTTCAAAATAATAAATACGATTGTGCGAAAAAAATGAATAAGAGCGTTAAAAATAAAGAGCCACTTATGTCGTCAATCTGTTATGGAGATCGATGTGGAGAGTGAACTCTCCGATAAATGTTTAATGAAAATATTCGATGCTTTTCTTTTTTGTGTGTATTTGTTGTGTTTTGATGTTTGAAAATTTTGGCGGTTTTGATCATGATATGTTAGGAACAAAGGGGTCAATCTATACAAAAAAACGTAAAGAAGCAATAAATATTTGGTGTCAGCTAGGGGCGTAGGGTGACGGCGTGACGCCTCATGTATCATGCAAAACTCTTATTTTGAGGATGAGACAACTTGGGCCGTGTCTTTAACTCTTTATCTTTATTGACTCGACATTCATACATATGAGAGATCATCAATCTTTCACAAGATGATACATGGAGAGATCGACAAGAATAGGTATCTGCCGATCAGGGGGTCGACATATTCGATCAACGTTGCTTCCTC